GTAGAGGAAGTGACTGCTGTTACATAATTACTCTGGTATTCATCCTTCTTCAATGAAATTCCGGAACAACTATGAACATCAAAACGACACAACGAAGTTATGAGTTTTCTAAATGTTTCCTGGAAAAAAATGCCTGCAGATGACCATAGCCTATTCTCTTAAGATGTCCACGGGTATCCGCAGCATTTTGTGAAGGAGCAACAGACTATGGGGCATTTCATGGAACCTCCTGTCTGAGCAGTGAGGTGTCAGTCAGGTGTTGAGGAAGCTGAAATAACTGGATCAAGAAGGTTTCCTTAAAAATTTAAAGTTCCAAAGACCATGCAAGAGAGACCAGAAGGCTCAGTGAAACTTATGCAACAGCAGTCTTTGTTGAGACCATTATCTAGAAAATAAATGAATATATTGTGATTATATTGTGATATGGGCAAATGGGTGAACAGATAGATGGAAGGATGGAGAAAAATGCAAATGTACCATACATTTGACAGCAATTTAATTCAAAAGTAATTTCTACAATCTGGGCTTCTTGCATAAATTTACATTACATTAATTTACATTAAATGTAATGTTTGGAAACAGGCATGTCAGCTTCTTATTCTTGCCTCCCTCCCAGCTGAAGTGGCCCCTGATCTTATACTTTTCCCCCATGGTTATGGGTCAGGTCTGACATTTTCAGGTCAAACCTTAAGAGTTATTACTCAATCATCTATTTCACACCACTGGTCATCTCTCAGAACATCCTGAGGGATGACTGGGTGGGCATCCTGTTCTCTATGTTCCAGGGGAAGTGCACTATTCATTGTGATCTCCCTACTTCAACATATTTGAAACACTCAAAATTTTAGGTCTGGAGCTTAGTCACTGGCAGGAGCTTGGAGTAACTAAAGAGGCGTCCCGCTCTGCTTCTTACCTACCTTGTGGAGCTTACCTTCAGATGAAAAAGTAAAGATCGGGGTCGCTTTACCCCTAACCAGTGTTACTGTAACAGAGTCTAAAATCAGAATTTCTAACAACTAAGACGTTCCGTTGGGAATAAAACAATAAAAAGAACAAGCTTAGAGATCATTACTCCTCAGAGTGTCATTATGAACTTCAACAAATCAAAACAAGATGACTAAAGGCAACCTATAACAATACAACACAGAGGTAAATGAGTCATAGCTTATACAAACAGACAGGTGTGATGCCATAAAATCCCCCCACGGAGACAAACAGCAGCAGGACCACAAGCCAAGGCCTCCGGTGTATCAAACGATGAGCTCAGACAAAGAAAAGTGTCACATACTGAATCACTTACTGCAAACCTGCAGTTGTAAACACAAACAAAAGGTTTCAGAGGACCATGCACATGTGCCCATCATTAACTCCCATTAACTCAACAGTCAGCTATCTAAACAACATCAGTGAGCATGATGTCACCAAAAGGGTTGTTTTACAGTCAGAATAAAACACTTGTTCTTTGTCATAATCTATGAAATGCCTTTGGCTTTGCTAAATTAATGACAGCTACAATGAAATGTTAGAACAAACCCTGGTAAAAATGAGCAGATGGCAAATTATAAACTCAGAAAACATACCCAATGCATAAACAACTTTAACTGTAAATGTGGAAGAAAAAAAATGGGCTCAACAGGTCAGTAATGACAACATGAAGTATTTTATAGGCTTTAACTGATGAGTGTTTTACTGGAGTGGCGTTAGAGTAGATATGATGTAAATTTTATCATGCTATTAATCATTTATATGAGGAAAATGCCAAAGAGTTATATACACTTACTGTCTTTCAATATATTTTAAGCCATTATTGAAAGCAATACAGAAAATCCTAATGCAGTACAGACACAGCCCATGCTGTCAAGCACATAGGTCTAGTGAAATGGATTTGCCTTGCAGCTGCAGGACTGAGGCACCTTGCACTAATATTGAGTTGAACATATCCAAATTGTAAAGCCGGCTGTCTTGCAGAAACTTGGCTAAAACTGAATTGTCAAAAGTACAACCATCTGAAACATACCAGCAAACCTACAACAAAGTGAAGTTTGTTGCAATGGTTCAATCAAAGTTAAGACCTTGACCAGACTGTTCAATTGGTTTCACCAGACATTTTTTGGGATCAAGTGGTGCTTTGATTCATTTTTTAAGATATGTGGCAAAAAAAGAAATTGGCAAACCAGGAAGGTCGTTAGTGCTTAATTATGTGGTATTTTCCCAGTAGATGAAGGTGTGCTATATTACTTTTTGATTCCATCCTATTAGAAACAAATCAATGGAAACAAACATCATTCTCCACTATTTTCACAAACAAGAAAACAGCTTTAAAGTTACTCAACCAAGGTTCACTTTTAGCACTCCATTTGATTTTCCATTGGAATTAAAGAGATTGGGAAGAACAATCTCTTTCTACACTTAAATTGTCTCCTTATGCAGATGATTTCGTCTGCATAAGGATGGTTTATTCTCTTGGTGATTTTCTGATGCAGGTAAATAGCTTCATAATACTTCTTAGCTTTCACAGGTTTAACTGTGTGGCTTGAAGATCTAAGTTTATGCTTTCCAGAACCAAATCTTAGATCTCAAATAATGCAAATGTCTGTACTCTCAGGAAAAAAAAAAAATCTTATTGAGTTAGTGTTGTCCTGCAATCTCATTATCTGATTAAATTTCGAAATTTCTTTACAAATATATATTGAGCATTTAGTAATAAAAAAAATCTGAGAATTAAACTGGGATTTTATTTATTCAAAGAGGTAATGTGGTAAATTATCAGCCAGGAAAAAGCTTGATTATGTTACATTTTTGAATGCTCTTGATTATAGTGACATTATTTTGTGCATGCACAGTGCATCTTCTACATTTTACTGCGTACATTCTTCTCTTTTTTGAGTTCATGCTTCATAGCTTCAAATAATTGTCATAATTTACAAATGTAAAGTAGACTTTCTGAATTTTTTTTCCGAACTCCATAGAACCGAGGGTGGGGGGTTTGGAAATCTTCAGGCTACACTCTTTTGTAAATTGCCTATTTTAGCACAATGCCATATCTGGTCCAGTGAACTCCAAAAGTTCCTTACACTACATTCAGTCATTTACCCATTCATACCCTGATGGTGATAAGCTACCATGTAACCTCAGCTGCCTTGGGGCAGACTGACACAAACGAGGTTGCAATAAAATCAGTGCCACCACCAAAAGAGTCACCAGCTGGCCAGGTGGGTGAAGAGTCTTGCCCTTGGGTACAGAGTTTGACCTGGTTACAGGACAAACGGTTATCTCTTTAGTCACTGTCACCAATAAAACTTTTGTTTTTTGTCTATCTGTGATAGTTTGAAGTTCTGTCCACTTTTCAAAACCAGTGGATAGAAAGAGGACTTTGGGATTTTATCCTCTGCTCTAAGAGCTAGACAGAAGATTCTTCTTGAAGCCTTCAGGTTTTAATAAGAAAACATGATCACAGTAATTGCATGATCACAGCATCCACAGTCATCCCACCACAGACGTGTTTTATGGGATTTATAATGATGTGCATGAATGTTGTTCATTAGTAGGCAGTGGAGTTGAAGGTGGAGAAGAATGTCAGATGGAAGTTTAATAATACTGATGGTGGAAACTACAAGCTCACAGCTGCAGCTTAAAGACACTGATTAACCCTATTTCACCTGCTTTGTTCAAACTAGACACTGCTGGTCCTGTTTTAATGAGTCTGACTCAAGACTAGCATACAAACAAGCTGAATGGAACTCAAATCAAAACGTCACCCATGGAGATCTGAGGCTGATTCTTATCAAGAGACAGTCAGTAGTTCTATACCACCTATTAAATATTTTGTAACAGATTTACAGCTAAAAGTTCAGTCTTAAGATCTTAGAGGTATTTTCAGAAGTGAGTCATCAGAAAACAGGAAATCTATAGTTGTTAACCTTTAATGTGATTATAGCCTGTTCCAAGAGTTTGTGGGGATACTTGAGACAAATGTTTCCAGATTTCACTGATGATGAATAGATACAGCACTGAGATAGATATTGTTTTAGATGCATGCTTGATTAAAATAAAAAATGGGTCACCAAAAGTCATTATTAAAGTTGGTCTTTATCTTTATCTTTGCTGATATGTATAAGAAGCTGACATTTGAGCAGAAACTTGGTTAGTTAGGATAAAAAGTAAAGCTGGGCATCATTGCAATAACATTGGCATAATAAAAACAAGCAGTTGGAGTTTATAATGAAGAGGACACCTGTGCTATAAAGAATAAATTTCCTTTCCATGACTTCCTCATGGTACCTTGGTTTGTCTTATAATTTGATTACATAAATGTTGCATATACAGTGAATATATGGACCTTCGTTTGTAATTCTGAGGTGTTAATCCTCTCTGCACACTTTAGCGGTGCAGGCTTTATGTAAAAGTGGTAGTTAGCAACTAGCACATTCCTCTACTTAAAACTTTGCTGGGGTCTCTCTCTTTGGGGTCTGAACATGTCCTTGTATGCCTGCATGGGTTTCATGCTTGTTTCCCCCAAAATACAACAAAAATGCATCCTAAATTGGTGAAGTTTGCATAGCACATCTTTGTGTAGGTCCAGGCTGCAAAACAGACATTGACAGTAAAGTCCTTTTCATAACATGAACAGAACAATCTTTGGAAAAGGTCTTGCACAGGAGCTAAGATTTAAGGGTCTGACACAGATCTTCTGGTACTGATTAAAGAGAAACCTTTGTAAACATTTTTAGTTATTTTTTAAGTCTTTAACATGTCAGAAATATTTATATAATCTATATACAGTTATTCAAGAAGGAAAGCTTCATGGCAATGTCATCTGAGGACGGTTGTCTTAGAAAATGTTTTTTCTACACATTTTGTTGGTCAAACTGGATGAAACCACAGACGTTCATTGTACAGTTGAGTCTAATCAAGTAAGAAGTAAATACAGATGAAAAACATGCACAGTTTAGACATATGGAAGACTTATTTATATAAGCAAGACATTAAATAAATTCATATTTGGTTTTGCATGGTTTATTGTATCTCAAAGCTCCACTACTTTTTTGGTGATTTGCTGTCACCTAGTGGATGATAAGTTAAATGGAGACATTTCAAATCTGAACATACGCCAACACCCTGCATTAAAGCATCTCAAAGCTTCTCGTTTATTGCAGCACACACACACACACAAATTATAGTCATTCAGTTTTACTACAGTCTACATTAAATATCTGATTATGCAAATAAACCTAATGATTTCTCCAATTTGTTCCATCAAGACTTCTTTCAAGAGTTAGTGGTGTAAACTTGTCATCCATGGAGGTGAGCTGAACAGCATCAGAGAAGCATTTCAGTCATTGATTTATTGACTCTGTTGTGATAAACTTGGCTTTCTGTAACTTTAAAATATTTTAAGACACATTAAAAAAATAAATATCTCTTTAAGCTTCTTTGTGCAGGATGCAGACAGTTTTCATAGGTTGGGAATTAAATTTCCAAACCCTTTTGAGAACTCTGAAACACCTTTTAATTTCATTGTCTGAAAAATGCATTTCAGAAGTGGCTTTCCTTACATATAAAAAGCTCTGTGGTCTTTCACGTCTCTACCATCTCCACAGGGTCACTGCATGTCCTCTTCCTTTTCCCACTGTTTCCACTGTCATGACACCCAACCATCCGACCCTCGTCGCAGGTTAGGAGAGCGGACACTGGTTCCTCTGGGAAGCTCTGTCCAGGTCCCAACACCTGCCTGACAGTCAAGTTCACTCTGGAGCTTTGAATGTACCTGGAACACACATCCCAATCCTCCTGAGACACCGGCTCCAGGACGCTGCCTGTCTGCAGGGCTGAGGCACAGCTGAGCTCTTCTAAAAGAGCTGCACGCTGCGGAGGAGCCGGAAGAATCCGCGGGACAGCATGGTACAGCAGCCGGCTCTGTCCTGACATCAACATCACATCTCCGCTGTGCATGAACATAGCAGTGGGGGCGTCTTGCCTTTGGGGGCCACCCAGCAGGAAGATGGACGACTGTCCGAAACTGAGGGGACAAAACTACATTACTGGGGACATTCCCACAATCCTGCAGATCCTTTGAAGCAGTTTAGTTTCTTCCTCTCACCTGAGCGACAGCAAAGGACGAGAGTGATCCAGCTCTGACTCGTCCACATGGATTCCCAGAGAGGAATCTGATCGGTAGTAGTTCAGGATGGCTGCCTCTGAGTTGAATCCCGGGAAGCCACAGGCAGCTGTTATCCGTTCGGAGAGCATGTGCAGATCAGCCGGGAATGGCGTGTAACTGTTGGCAGAGTAAGTCTTGGAACACATAAACAGTGGGAATATGTTAAGCTCCTAGAAATTTAAGGGAATTTTATTTTAATGTATGATTTCTGAGATTTTCTGCCAGATCTTCTAAAGTAAACTGGAAGTAGAGGCAATTTGGACAACCTTATACATAGGAATGCCAATAGATAACACTACACTACTAAAGCTTAAGCAATCAAAAAAAAAACATTACACATGAAAACAAAAATAAAATTCATTTTAACATTTCAAGTAGATGAAGATACTTTATTCAACAGACTCATGGTCCACAAGATACACAACAACACAACATACAAAACAAGAGAAAATAAATATCTGTGTAAATGTATGCTTCAATTTATTTAATACATTTTAGCTTTTATGTTTCCTGTCCTTTAATTAAGGGTTAACCTAGGAACTGATCAAACACTAACATTATTTTATTTATGTAAAATTTTACTGATAACAGTGTTTATCATGTGCAGGTAGCTTGCAAACTCACCTTAGTGTCCCAGTTGTAATGGTATCCCAGGGTTACCCAGCGCAGCCTCTCTAGTAGAGTTTTTGGTTGTCTCTTCACAGAAGCAGGAATCCTGTGGAGAGGATTTATATACTCAGGTCAGTGCATGCTGGCTGCTTAAGGATGATTTACTTTAGAGCAACTTTGTAGGGTGAACTCTAAAAAATCTGGAAACTGATTTATCAGACTTTCCATCCATCCAAAAAGGGATTCTTCAAACATGGGCCTTCTCTTTCACTATAGCACCATCTGCTGGTAGAAAAATTCAATTGAAAAATATTTTACTTATTCCAGTGGGGATAATATTTATCGAAGTATCTTACGTAAGTATATTCAAAGAGTTGTTGAAGCGGTGACAATGTGGGCAGGAATGATCTTTAGTAGTAGTTGGTGTTTCAGAAAATCAAAAGGGACCTCTGACTGAAGACATTGTTGCTGCATGATAGACCCATGGCTGTCATGCAATGATAATAGCTCAATTTCCAGGTACAAGAAGCAATATTTCAATGTAACATGTACTGAATGACACCATCAGTTGTTGGCAATCACTGCTAATCCACCTAATTTGCTTTTGCTGCTCCTCTTTAAAACCGTCTGGTCACATTGCTAGAAAACTGACAGATATGTTGGAGTCAGGAATGGGGTCCAAGCCCATTCTGATACCTCTTCTGTTTGGTCCTACTCTGCATCCATCAAACCTGCATTTCAACTCCTGTGGGATTTAGAGTCATTGCTCGTCATTTATTAATAAAAGTCTACAAAAAAAATAATAATAAAATAAAATAAAAATAAACATAACAGAGTTACTCCAACAAGCTGACACTATCAGAAGCAAAATACTAGCACCCATTACTTACTTATATGAAATAATGATACTACAGTCTGAACTTTTTCCACCTCAGAGCTTGCACACTCCTGGCCCAGATGTCCTGTGTATCAGAGGGTGACATGTGCATGTCCAGGTTGCACACGTTTGGTTTCTGAGGGTATGTCTTCAAACATTGTCTTACCCAGAAAGCGTGGGAGCCCCGCAGGAAAGGATTTGAAATTAAAATAAAGCCTACAAAAGACACAGAGCATTATTAAAGTTAGTGGACCTTGAGCATTGGCTTGATGCAGAGCTTCTGGAATAGTGTAAGGCAGGAGTCCAGAAGAAACTCCTCTTTCTGAGCCACAGTGTTTTCATGTACCTGGGTATCCCTGCAGTCCGAAAGCTCTCCAGTCTCTGATGGGCTGCAAACCAACACAGGCAGCCTCTTCATCACTCACAGCAGCTGGATCCAGTTTTACTGGAACGATCTTCCCGTTTTAGCACAAAAAACATCAAGAAATATCAAAATTACTACCACTGTTCAACACCCAATACTGTAAATGTGACTTTATATAATTTAAAGTCGCATTTCGAACTCTGTTTTCTGTTAAGCAACATCACTTTGGAACAGTTTTTTTAACCTGTAAGACCATCAAAATTCAGGTTTTGTCACATATCCTGCAACAGACCTTTCCTCCTGATGCCGCTCCGCTGCTGAAGTCCGTCACTTCCCTTAAGTCTGGAGGTGGATCCCTCCTTTTATAAAACTTAAACATTTTCCTGAAAACATCCTCTCCGCTTTCTGCCATCACGGAGGCTGCCATCTTGGCCATGACGTAACTGACGCATGTTGGATCACGTGTCTGTATACGTCAGGGGTCATAGTAGCAGGAGAAGGAGACAAGATGGCAGCCTCGGCGAAGAAAGTCTTGGAGGTGTTTGTGTCTAAAATCCCCTGGACTGTTGCTAGCAGTGAGTTTCTTCCTGTTATCAATTTTTTTTTGCCGACTTATAGCATTTTTATGAAAATTTAAGCTAAGGAAAAAGCTCTTTCTAGGTGCTTTTAATTGTCTGTGATGTAACACGTGAGGACAGAACGGTCAACTCAGCCTGTGGTTGTCTGGTTTTAATGTGTCGGACTTTTGCAATAACATGTTTTTGTTTTTGCTTTTTTCCTCTTTAGCTACATCCACACTAGTAGTTCAGGATACTTGTATCAATTTCCACGTCCGAAAACAAGTTGTATACACATAGAAAACAAAGTGAGCACCTGTCAATCTAAGAAAACCAAGTGCAGAACTTGACATCAGACCCAAGCACAACTGCCACCCAAGAGAAAAAGAGGGATACATCAATCTATCGCTTGAAGACTTAGAATTTATTTTCTTTTGTAAAATCAGAGAAGAGACATCTGTCTTCAAACTGGACATACAAATAAAAATCTAAAAAATATATTTTAAAAAATCAGTTTAAATTTGACCTGTACATATTTTTCAAAAACTCATTTAGATTTTAACTAATTTTAGGAGTCTATGCTTGAAAGACTTCAGACAATGTTGCTGTTTAAGATGAACTTGAAGTCTGATAAATTTCAGGATATTAAAGAATGACTTCTGAATTCTAAAACAATCTGTTTATATTTCAGGGGAGGTCAGGGAGTATTTTGGACAGTTTGGTGCAGTGAAGAAGTGCATCCTTCCATTTGTAAGTTTTTACTCCTTTGCAAACCATTGCACATGAACATTAACATTATGAACCATTTAGATAGGATGATGATCAATGTGTCTGTATAGAATCCAAAGTAAGGAAATATTTCTTTATTCAGTCAATGATTCAGTGCATTTTGGGATGATGAAGATACAAAAAAATATATATATTTTTTTGTAAAAATGAGTCTTGTTTGTGTGTTATTATTTGACTGTGATCTTTGTGTTTTATCAGGACAAAGACACTGGTTTCCATAAAGGGTTCTGTTGGGTTTCATTCTCCACAGAGGAGGGAATGAACAACGTGCTGCAGAAGGACCCCCATATTCTGGAAGGAGCAAAGGTAAACTATTGGATAGAATTCACAGCTGATATGAGCGGTGTCAGTTTCAGTATGAAAAAGAAAAAGTCCAGCCCACTTTATTTAACTGATGCTATTCTTTGGTTCCAGCTTCTTGTTCAGAGAAACAGACGTCTCTTTGAAAGACAGAAGTCCAACAAAGATGAAGACTTTGATTGAAGCTTGGTGGTTCTACTGAGCAGATGAGACCAAACGTGTTTTTTTTTTTTTTTTTTTTTTTTGTTGAAACGCTTCATTTCTCCTGCTTTATATCTGAATGAACTATTCAGACAGAAGGAGGATCAATGTGTCTGTCTGGAATCCAACATCAGGAAAAAGTTCTTCATTATTCAGACTCACTTGAACTGAGCATAAATGTTACTGTCAGTTTATTCACTAATAAATTCTGTATTTATTGTGAGAAAGATTGCTCTCCATCACATAATGTCAGTTGTTTTCAATCAATAAAAATGTTTATTGCTGTTTTACTTGGGTTTTTGTTCATCTTCAGTATTTCTCCATGCAATGGATGGATACATTTTCGTGGGGCAGAAGAGTTAACATTTACATTTAATCACGATCATTTGACAAAAGTAATATATATTCTATTCCTTTGTCAATTTCTAATGGTCAGTGGAGTACATTTGGACACTGTACAGCCCCATGTGCATATGTTTTATATGTTTTACATTTTTGAAAAGTGCAAGTACAAAATTTAATTATTTCCCTCTCAGTACAAGCAAGACCTAAAACTAAATATTGCAAAAACTATTAAATTGATCTTAATATTGGAAAAAATTCATTTACATTTTTTAAAAGAAAGAAAATACTAAAATTAATCTTTGTTGTCAAATTATTAGGTATGTGGAAATTTGGACGTTGCATTAAGTGATTGCAATATATATATATTTTTTTAAGTTAAGTCATTGAATCTCCCACATTTCACAAACATTTTAATTATTTTTTTCAAGTGAGGAAATGAGGTATTTTCTATTTTAACTGAATTTTAAACTTTATTTTAATTTCTTTTTGCATTTGAAAATTATGAGCACAACAATAAAATATTCACGCTGTCAAAACGCTTGACAGCGTGAATAATAACATGTTTTATTATTTATTTGTTTTTCCAGGAAAATGGAAAAATATTGCTTCGGTTCTTTAAAGACAGTTTTTATTTTATTTTTTGTAAGAAAATCCTGCATTTCATTTTTCTTTTACAATAAATATAAATATTTGCTTCATTTCTGAGCAAAACTTCATGTGAATCCATCACTGTTGTATGGAATACGTTTTGTTGACCGAGACGCACATAAATACGTCACAAAGGTCACCAGAAATGTAGTTTAAATTTGCCGTAATCATCATAAACGAAAGCGTATAAAACTACTGTACTATATTAAATACCTTTAAAATATATTTGCTGTAGTTTGAGTATAGTCCTAATGCCTCACAGTGCTATTAGAACTTAATGATAAATCTGAATTAAGTCCTTACCTTTTTCTTTGAAACTACATTACCCAGAGGTCCTTTTCGCTCGAAAACCCGGATAAGGGGTCGCAAATCAAACCGGTAAGTGAAGGAGAGCGAATTGCAGGCTGTGGTTGATTTTTTTTAGCGAAGTTGCTATTCTAACTTCAGATAGTGAAGCGTTTTGCGTGTCTGTTTGTGCGACGAATTTCTGTTTTTTGTAAGCTCTTACAAAACCCTCACAGCACTTAACAAACAGTGGTTGCATAACTCAGATGTTCAAGAGGCGTTCAGGTCAACACTGCCAGCGGACTGAAACTTATTTGTGTCATTTTAAATATGGTATTTTTGTGAAGACACAACTTAAAGATGGTGTTTGAAACCCGTTGCTAGACGGCTGTGGAGGAGCTTTTATCGGGAGTGGGATTTATTTCCTCCGTGGGGTGAGAGCCGAAGAGAAGAGCAGGTTTCACTCGTGAGTACAACCTGTCATTTATAATTTAAGCTCAGCTGACAGCCTGTGTAAAAATAGAAGCCCTTTTTAATGAATAACTCTTTACATGGAATGTGGAGATTGTATTAAAACAATGTAATCTGTTCCTTAATAAGGAGTACGTATTCATGTTGCATTCCATTCGGGAAGCATCTCAGGGTTTTTTTTATTATTTTTTTTATGATTATTATTAATTTTCCAAAAAATTTAGTTCAAAAACTAAAACCTAAATTTAGATCTATTAGGACATTATTTGCTTCTTTATTTTTGTGAAATTATAAAATTAAAAGACCAGCAGCGAAACCACAAATTTCAGTTCCTTATAAAATTTAAGTCTTGCAGAAGTCCATAAAATATTTGTTTTTAGAAGTGACATTTTCATGTGATTAGATTTAGCTTCTATTTCAAGAAACTAAAATTACTTCCCAGTGTAAGTGCTTTAAGATCAGAATGGTGGCATTTGCTGAAACTGCCGTATGCCATTTATTAGTATCTTCAAATTTTATCAATTCTTTCTGTTATCTTTCCAAAAAAAATAATGTTTTTGTTTTATCTGTCTTTAAAATGTAAACTAATTGGACCTCTTCTTCTTCTTCTACAGCTCTCCAATGGCAGGCCGGGTCCTAAAAGTCTCATCTCTGGCCACAGTAGTGTTCGCCTCATCGGGGTTCTACCTCTACAACAGACAGCTCGACCTCAGTGACCTGAGTGTGATCCGCTTCGGACGAGCAGCATTCGCCGTGAGTTCGCATCTTAAATGTTCTCACATGTATGTCTGATTTGAGTTTAATCACATCATCTGAGAGACAGTGACAGTAAGCAGAAAAGGTTATTGTTCATTCGGTTATTTTTTGTCAGTAGGTTGGATGAGGTCTATGAACTCCAGCTTTATAAAACACCAGCCACAACATAGTTTCTTTTTGGATATGTAACTACTTAAAACAAGCAGAAAAGAGCATAAATGTGTATAAGCATACTAAAACAAGGAGAAACGTCAAAATAAAAGACCCCATTATACTGAAACCAAACTTGAAAAACAAATGAAAGATTTAACTGATCGTATAGATGATACAGCATGGATATCAGGAGAAGGGTTATTCCACAGTATAGGGCTTACCACTGCAAAAGCCTGATTCCCTCTGAGATGATTCCTTTGACTGCACTAAGAACATGAAAACATGATGATTTCAGGGCTTTACTGAGGTTATAAAGCTCAATCAGTATTTTTTTTTAATACCTGGGTGTCAAACTATTTTAAAACTTCAAAAGAAAGTAACAGGGCAATATATATGCACCCTATGTACGGAAACTATTTGTTCTTTGCATTATGTTTAGGAAGCAGCTGGTACACAGCCGGATTACAAATAAGCATTCAGCAACAGTAAATGGCCAGTAATCTAAAGAGTTTCCTCTTCCATATCCAACTTTTGGGAAATAATGAGATAAAATGATGGCCTGCTTCCTTATAAGGCAGAAAACATCACTGAAACAAACTTATCCAAATGGGCTGTTAATGAGAAGATGTTAATGAGAATTTCTAAATAATACTTTTACTTAGAAAGTATTAATATAGTCAATTTGTGGTCAGTGTTTGCACTTTTAGTTGGGATAGAAGGAAACTTATTTTCCTTGCTGTCTTTAAGCTGAGATATGGACTACAACATGCATTCACTACTCCAACATGTGACATGATTTTTAGCAGCAAAAATGTATAGTGTATGTGACAGTGTAAGTCACTCGTGTTTAGGTACCCCATTGTATTGCACATTATTGTTTTTAAGATGTTCTCATTGGGATCAAACAGCTCTGATGAGAGGTAGCTTTGAAGTTGGACTGTTTGTTTGGAACATAAACCTGCTTTTAGCGATGCAAAAAGACCTTAAATCAACACTGATATTTTTAAAGACTTAAACACATGTTCATCTAACATGTTTCTGTTTCTGTTTGGTTTAATGTCTCAAAAAAAACTGCATAGAATCTCCTCACCTATTTATGCTTGTGTTTGCAGACAGCAGTGATCAGCTATGACTATCTGACAGCATTCAGACATGTAGAGTACGGCACAGAGGAGTACTGGACTCTCAAGTCCAAGGTAAGAACTACTTTTTATAGAGGTTGATTAGTTTATAATATAAGTGAAATAATCTGCTTTGGTGTGGAATCCTTTAGATGGTATCTTTGCCTATTTATAAAAAAGGAATAAAAACATGTAGCGCCATCTTCTGGATAAGAGTGGCAATCATTCCTAATTGGTGTATTGTATGATTTTATGGTCTGGACTGTGACATCTGTGATGACTCTTACTGTATCCAAGATGCTAAAGGCCACAGAGACATTTGTAATTGATGTATTTATGTGTTGTGATATTGTCATTGCAACATCTACCATTAGTAACTCTAATCAATGTTAAAGGTTTTATAACAATCTAGAACTGAACTTACTCCTATGTCAGTGTTTCTCAAAAGTGTTTGGGCCGAGGTGAAATATTTTCCAGATCCTGCCGCTTCATAGGTAATATAAATGGGACCAATTTGATTTTACAGAAGGGATAAGAGGATCTACAGTATTTATTTAAAACCTATTTAGTTTTCTCTCGTATCGCTGTTTACCTATTTTTGGAATATGAACGTAACAAACTACAAACTATGTTTCATAAAACAATAAAATTAACCACTCAGTTCTTTAGAATAAAAAAAATTATGCAAATTATAACATTTCCAATCCATTAAAATTTGATTAATAATTTTCTTAAAATAATCAGTTAAACTTTTTTATGTTTTTACTTTTCCAATTTACTCAACATTGCACAACTTTCACAATTGTCCAGTGAAGAAAAGATTTAAATATCTAAACTGAGTACTAATAAAGAAAAAAGATAATAAACTTCTTAACACAATTTGCATGTCCTTCAGACAGGAGCAGTAGTCTTGAGAAAAAATATGGATACAATTTTATTGTAGACAAACAAAAAAGAAAGGGGGGGAAAAATGTTCATCAGCAGATTGCATGGTGAGTTTAACCATCTCCTGATGAGGTGCATCATTCCTGCAAGTGTTTGTCAAAAAGGTCAACTAGGGTTATTCAGGTGAGCTCTGCAGAAACAACCTGCTCTGCTGCTGCTGCTGATGGTGCAGGAACTCTGCAGTGAACCTTGAAGAGCATGGTTCAGCATGGCTGGCCACATGGATGGGACTCAAACACTCAGACAAGTGCTCCTGCCCCTCGGGCTGCGCCGGTCAAGCTCGACTGCACACGCTGATTAGAATTAATGCATGTTACTGATTTATTCCAGGGAGGAGGCTCAGCTCCTAATTATCCTGAAGTCAAAGAGGTGAGGCTTCAGAGCTGCAGCTCATTCTTGAGTTTTTCTGCTGCAGACTCAAAGGACCACAGGTAGAGATAATGGGTCAATGACTTAAAGTCTGCTTCAGCCTGTAAAAAAGAAAACACAAGCTTGTCTTATATTTTTTTTGGGAAAAAAACCCTTTACAAATCAATTAGTTCAGTCAATGAAATTTTATTTGTATA